CCCCCCCCCCAACCTGTTTAATACTTTATTTGCTCCAGATAACACATCAGCTTCAACGCTCATCCACAAACTCTGTCACCATGATGCCCACAGATGGCAACTTCCTGTGGTCCTGCCCAGTGATTGGTGGAGAGACTTCCAAACAGAGAACAGCTGGTGAGGGATGATATATCACCCAGCGTTTGCACTTTCATTTTCAGGGTTGTCTTGTTAATGCTCCCAATCCAGCATCTGGCAGGAAATAGACACAAAGGCAGAGAGAGGGAGAGAACAACCTGTTCTTTGGCAGACCTTAACAAAAGGCTGACACATGCCTGATGAACACGCAGAGCTGCAAGAGAACAGACAGAACTGCCATGAATATGAACAAAGAGGCAAGTTTAAAAGAGACTAGATAAGAGGATGTAAACATTTTCTGCAATAGGTCATTGTTAAGAGAAGGACATCATAAATAGACCACCACTACTTTTTATTGACTTTTTATACTATGCTGTTTTCCTGTCATTTTTATTGAATACAATTCCTGTTTTTTTTGTGATTTTATCTTAAAGCACTTATGATTTAAAAAAAACCTTTTAGACTATGATTTCTTTAATTGACATTTTTAACTGTGACTTTTTCAATACTATGACTTTCTTTTGACTATTTTAAGACTTACTATACTAGTTTTATATTGAAAAAAAACATAGTACAGTATATCGAAAATATTGATAAATAATCATAGTATAGTATATCGAAATATGTTGAAACAATTAATAGTATAGTATTTGGAAAAATGTGAAGAAAAGTCATATATATTGTAAAGTTTGAAAACAGGCCTATAGTATGTTGAAAAAAGTCATGACATAGTAGGCCAATAGGCACATTCACACCGCAGTACTTTTCCCACAAAGGTTCATGAGAATTTAGTTCATCAGAACTCTTTAGTTTTGATGAACTAAGTACAGATCGCGTTCACACCGGAATAAGTCCCTGGGGGTGGATTAGGCAAATGAAGCCGCTGACGTCACCTCTTCTTCTTCTGCTTTGGGTTTACTGGCAGGCCGCAAACAACTTCACGGCGTATACTGCCGCCCAAAATCCCCGCCCGGAAGTCCCCGGAGTTGGGGACTGGCTTCAGTAGAAGCTGCTTGGACTCCCAGCAGCTTCTACTGAAGCCTTCCGAGTAAATCGCCAGAACGCCGACACCTCCTCATCTCCACCGCTCCCATGTTTTATTTTGTGTTGCCATAAATTAGTCTCTCTGCGTTTCTGCGCTGGGCTAATGCTAATAATGCTAATAAAATGGTGGCTTCACAACACTTTTTTTGAGTTTTACGGGGCGTGGTTTGCAATCCGTCCAGCCAATCAGAAAAATAGCTCTTTTCTCACAAGAGAGCCGCATGAGAGTCCCTGCTCTCTAGCAGGGACGGAAAAGGGGGTAAAAAGGTTCTCATGAACTAATTTTAGTTCCGGCTCTTTTTGGTGTGAACGCGACATTTCGGAACTATATCAGAACTAAAGTGGAAAAAGTACGAATGCGGCTTATGTCGTAAAATAAAAAGTCATAGTATAATATGAAAAAAGTCAAAATATAGAATGTCGAAAAAAAGTATATTGGATTTTGTTTTTATTGTTATTAAAGATGACCATAACAATAGGGGCCGGTGTGTTAGTGCCAGTATTTTTGTTTTTATAAAAAGGGTCACCAAATCGTGACGTCTGTAGTCAACAAAGTTTAAAATACTAAAACCCCACAGCGCCTTCTCTAACAGAGACAGAGATGGGCAACCTATCAGAAAGATGCCGTCGAGGCACAGTTTTTAACTGTTCAAATACGGTTTAAGTTACCAATAACGTTATACAAGCCTTAACATAGAAAGAAAGAAAGAATACCAAAGTTGTTTATTATTTTATTTGAGTTTTGGCTCTTTTGTTTGATTTGTTTTGACTATTGTAAAGGCCTGTTTGCTTTATATCTGTGTACAAGTTTGTTATTTTATTTATTTTTAAATGATGCCCTCCTGCCGGTGGGTTGGAGCCATAATGTATTTTGTTTGTGTTATTTTATCTGCACAAGTTGAACGTAACATGCAGTTCAGACATTGAACACAGGATGGAGCATTCATTTGAGAGTGCATAAAGGTAATCACCTGGTGGTCAGAATCAGGTGTGTGGGACGGGAAGCAAACAGTTACTGACCATGTCGAGATGAGCTGTGTGTTAACCTGTTTGTATCCAGCGTGACTGACTGGCATGCATATGTTGTTCTCTGAATGGTAACAGACGAAGCAATGTGGATACATTCATTAAGGTGAATGTATTGGACACAAAATAAATGGATCGATGGATTCAAAGATATACGACTCATATGGACATTGTTTTATAGTCTGGAACACACGTCCGAACCATGGTCCGAACAAGTTCTCCCGTTCGCAGTGGTTTAAATATAGATTAGGTTTTAAAGTCACTACAGAAGTTTTTATGACTTTTTCTATAGTGGTTTTTTAAACCTAGACTATAATATTAATCTTTAATGACTTATTTCATTATATCCCTTACTTTGACTTTGGGTCATGATTTATTTTGAGACCTACTATACAATGTTCTTTTATGGCATACTCGATAAGGACATTTTAAGTGTGACATTATTACTTTTTTGATGACATACTTAAATAAGGGTTCTTAAAGTGTTATGACTGAGACTACGTAAGGGAGCCTTCATATGATTAAGGGTGCATTGGTTGTAATCGTTTGTAACTGGAAGTGTTAATGAAGTTGTTAAATGTATTTAGGTATTAAATTATCTCCTGCATTTCCATCCTAGGTCTTCCTGTTAATTGAAAGGAAAACTACCCACATTGAACACCAGAGGGAGCTATTGCACAACCAACTGGACCTCAACACTTCAGGTTCAACAAAGCTCTCAATCAATTGGTATCAATGAAAAGAGCCGACTCACAAAAAACAACAACCTTTAATACCTGGTGTCACAGTGTTAGTGAAATTGTAGATATAATGAGATGCTGAGTCTAAGTTGTCCAACTTATCCAAATATGCCACTTTACAATGTTGATAATCTTTGTCCCAGGTCAATTAATTTTCAATTACTGACTAAACAAGAGACATTGTTTAATATCTCTAAATACAGAAGTCTGGCGTACAGACAGCATTTCCTCTGACAAAAATACACTTACTGATGTGACTGAAATGTCATTGACCATTACGCCTGCCAACCCTGCTCTTAAACAGACAATGCATACACAAGAAACTATGATGTACAACAGGTGTATACAAAAATCAACAAAAAGGTAACAGACAAATGAAGCCAACCTGTTAAATATAGGAAGGCAAAACGCTGTTTATCATGGCTGAACAATACCAATATATTGTTCAAAATTAAATGAAAACCGGACAGCTGAATGATAGTGACAAAGCTACCATTCCAAAGATCTTTAGAGGCTACAATATTGTTATATTTAACATGTAGAAGTCAGAGAAAAATCATGCAGCTTCATCTCTTGACACAACCGATAATAAAATATAAATTGCTGCTTGTAACCAAACTTGATCTTAGAATAGTTGCAAAGTAGACCTTAAGCTCTTGTAAAACAAACTTGATCTTGCTTCAAGGGCCAAATCCTAGGAACAAGCCCTTAACTTGGTAAAAGTGTCCTTTTTCAACACCTGTGCTGATGCTCCAGTTGTTATATAGGGCTTTATATTGAGCCCTTACAAGCTTATATTGTAGAAAACAATATGCAACTGCAGTGATTGTAAAGTTAGCTGTTTGGCCCTTTTATGTTTGTTGCATAATAATACCTGTCGAGTGGTGCCAGCAAACGTAAGTAAAAGAGAATGTTGTGTACAAAAATGGAAGTGGCCATGATTTTGATCGACTTTAGTTTGTGCCTGCTGAAGACTTCGATGGTGGTGAAAGTTGTGTTTAAATGAATATTTTTGCTATCAGAGCCCTGATGACAATACAAATGATAAAAACCCTTAAAAAGTATGGTTGCAATCTCTCATATATATTGACTTCTTTTGAGTAGATATTGTTTTCATCTGCTAATCTCCCCTGTTAAACACAGCAGGCACCATACCACACACATCACAGATCATATCAAGAAAACAATGAAACCCAGATACAGTGAAGCGTTTACATAAAGAAGCATTAAAACGTTTTTTCCACCCTGTAAAAACTGTTAATACATTACAAATACATGGTCAAAATGCACATACAGTGGACAGCTCTGTTTCCTTATCTGTTCCAGGAAATCTGCTTGGCACGATTGTCATTAAAACAACAAAAGCTTAAAGAATTCAACAATAATTTTGGGAAAAGCACCAAACTTTAAAAGTAGAAAATTGGACTGGCTTGAATATCAAATGATCATGCTCATACAGTAGGGGAGGTCAGTGAAAGCAACACAGGCTACAGGAAAAGTATTCAAATTGTAAGGCTACTACCAATAAAGAGGATTCTCATACAGAGCAACTTAGTTAAATGTAAAAGGACTGGAGCGAGTTGCAGACTGGCTACCCACTGTTCATCGTTTTTTGGTAACTGTAGCTCCATTTCTCATGAAACGCTACATGCAAAAGCAGTAGTAAATGGCTTGTCAGAACATTAAAATGGCTGGTATGAAATGCATGGTAAGAAAAAAACGAGACAGAACACAGGCAGTCGTAGTGAGATAATTGGTTTATAATTAAAATGTGTTCACCTTTGTTCCCTTACTTGAGTTTCCCCTCACTGAAATGAAGATGACCAAATACAAAATGGCCAAACCCTGTTCTGGTTCACAAACTTCAAATATAGCGAAAAACATTAACATAGACATGGAAGGTGAAAATAAAATGGATATTTTTCTGAATAACTCCCTGATTAAATAAAAGTCATGATATGCAAATATATGGTGACATTCTGCAGCTTTCACTATATAAACCTACTCATGACATAAAGTTGTTTATGATAAATCCATATCCTTTTCAGAATGTTAATGTACAAACTTGCATAGATAAAGTGATATAGTATAGAGCAGCTTAATAATGACATGCCCAAAAGCAGAACATTCTTTTATAAGCTCTTCTGATGCCCCTTGCAGGGAATAGCTGCTTGTTGTTGGAGTACCAACAAAACAAAACATCGACACTTGGACCACTAACATATGCAAGTTTGCAATTTGGGCAGATATTTGTTAAGTCTCAAAAGAGTGGGAGCTCTGAATTAAACTGTGAGTTATTTTTCTGCTCTCCTGCTCAAAAAGACTTAGGAAATACAGGCCATAGGTCACACACAAAACATCAGTTTAGGACAGCTGTTTTTTTTGTCTTCCTTTAGTTTTTTACAGTATGGCTATTAACAGGGTGGCATATGGATGACATCATAGACTCATCTGAATATAAAGGGCTTCACTGACTGTCTGTAATGCTTTTAAACATGCTTTCCCTGGGATTTTTTGGACTTTAATTCTTTTTAATGCACAGGGGAAATGCCTGATTTTGGCTGTTCTCAATGTAAGGCTCTTCATTTCTATTTGGCTAAACCACCACCTGGGGACTGAGAATTACAGGAGTGACATCTCTGTTATTGTGGTATTAAAATGGTTCCACAACGCGAGGACACAATGTCCTCGAATAGACTTAATGTTGAACTTAAAGGGGAGTACCACTCAATTTGGGAAATTTCTGGATCTAAGAACAAAACAATCTGTGACATTTTTGGGAAACACACTCTTTCACAAGCATGTGCATAATGTCTAGAGGTGTGTTAAAGAAAATAGTAGAGATAATATGAAAAACATACGATGGAAGTTCGAAAAAAAAAAAAAAACTTCAGTCTTCACTGTCACCAAATTAAATGTAGTTTTAGATTTGAGTGGCAATCCCCTTCAATACGTGTACATAACAATTTGGAAAACAATCAAAAAGTACAACATAGACACTACTCTGAGCACAGTTCTATTAAAAGCAACCGGTTATAAAACATTGACATCATCAAGAGGACGTGCTGTACATCGAGTTGAGAGTGATAACAGCCTCCCATCTCCTCTACCTCAGTCGTGAACATGAAGTAGAAATCATGTTCCGTGTGCAAATCGAGTGAACACCAAACATGCGTGGTGCAACTCTAATGCTACTGACTGAATCTGTAGAGCTACATTGAAGTGTGGTGGTGGGGAAAAAAGCTTTTGTTGCGTACGACCAACCGACAAAACAGAGCGATAAAGTAAAAGTTCTTTCTAAGCTGGCTCCTGCATTATATTGTACATACAAGAGAAAAGCATTCATCTTCTTCGATTCTCCCTTTGTTTGCAGTGACGCGTCAAAATTCCACATCACAGGAAGGACTTCTCGAAGCAGCCCGGACGTTCTCCTCATCCCCAGACCTCCAATGTCTGACACACGGACACAGTGGTCCTTAGACAAGTCTGACCTCCTCTGATCTTTAACCGTACAACCTCTCTTCAGCCAGGGTGTAGGTTCGCTTTCCTACCATGCCTCTCTCATGCAGAGCGATGGATCCCGAAGCGGCCGGGGGCTGGAGCGGGCACAGCCAGAAAAAAAATTAAGCTGGTGGGAGGAGAGGAACGAAAAGGGATGAAAAGGAAATAAAACATGGCCTATCCATGAAGCATCCGGCTCCGATGGTGTGTTTAGGTTGGTAACGGGTCGTCATCGCCTTTGCTGCACTTGCACTTACAGCACAGGACGATGGGAGTGGCCAGAAGGAGGAAGGGGGAGGCCACCAGCAGGAGAAGGCCGAAACCAGCAAAAATCCCAACAACCTGCAGGGAGAGATCAGAAAGAGTGAATACATATATGTAAATACAGTAGTTTAAACAAAAAGAAAATGGTATTCCCTTCCATCCTTGAATCCTGCAATACTTCAATTTGCCCTGCAGATGGCACTAAATGCTCAAACGACATATCTTTACAGTATAGTTTCTTGAAGATGCATCAGAAGCTATTTGAATACTACAGGGGATGTTGGCAATTTTTCACTAATGTATAACTATATATTCTTTACTTATTGCTTTTTAAAAGCTCTAAATATACCATGTTTGCTGTTACGGCCTCTGTTCCAGCATCGACATTATTACAACTAATTGGTTTAGTAGACCATGTCAAAAATAAAATATATACATTTTTACTGATGGATTACAAAAACACTCAGCAATCCTCAACATTATTAGCTTCAAACACTTTAAGAGCATGAATGTTGGTGAATTCCCCACATGGGGGGGCCAGACACCAGCAAGTTCAGAGCCCCAAAATGGAATACATAACATGCAGTCACACGCAATAGTTCTGAGGGAACACATATGCTTTTCCAGGGTATTTGATTGGAAACAGATTTCTGCTTTTAAGCACACATACCTAACTAACCTTCTCCCAGCTTGTATACAGGCTGTGCTGTATTGGAAAGCACAATGTGCTCTGAATCATTGACCCTGATGATGCTTGCATGTTTAGAACATGACTGTCCTTGTAACCAACGGTAGACATGGTGTAGACAGGGAGAAAATATATATTTTTTGTAAGATAGGTTTGCCCTGGTACATCTTGTAAGTGGAGCTTTTAGATGTGGAGGAGAGCGGGGGGGGTGAAATGAGAAGAGCAAGAGAGAGACAAAGACACAGAGCAGTGAAGCTATAGCCGTCTTCCACCAGCTGAACTGTAATCATATGACTCAGCCTGCCCCACTGGGCAACAGATGCCAGTTTATATGCTAATGTTGACAAAATAACAAGTATGTTGGACAAAGGGACGTGCCAACCCATAATAGGTTATTCTGCTAAGGATTGATACTGAGGAGAAGTGAACACCAGAGTCGGCCTGTGTGGAAGACTTAAAACACATGTCATATCTAATCCCGATCATGTGTAATCCACCATTTTTCATGTGGGAAATGACATGTCATATCCAATCCTTTGTGTAATCCGTCATTTCATTTGCTAACCCATCGGTAAAGAAGGACCTTTGTTATGTAAACGTTTTCTCCTTTTTTTGTTTGAAAGGTGTACATAATGGGCTTAGCTGAACACAGCAGGACTCCGACCACCAGGCACTTGGGGCTGCACGTGGATCGAGTTGTCCTTTTTCGTATTGTGCATGTCAAGATCATTTTAGCCTGTCACAGAAGGCTAGTGTTTGAGCGAGAAAGAGGCAGAACCCGGGAGCATGTGTGTGGCCACATGCTGCAGTGTGGTGAGTGTGAGAGAAAGGAGGGGGGGGAGAGAAAGGAGAAGGGACGAAGATGGGTTTCTCACCTGTGTTCTGTGCCAGATAACAGACGCCCTGGAGTGGCCTAGTTTGTTTCGACAGGGCCCTTTGTCATAGTGGATCAGGAGAAAGTCGTCCTGTCACACACACAAACACACACACAGCACAGGTAAAGACTGACCATTAGCAGTCTAAAGGACAAGGGCAGCTGTTCTGAGAAAATCGTTTTTTAAATGACCCACGTGGCCCGGTTGTCCGTGCCCACACAATTAAGATTACATAACGCACCACTGCTCATAAGTCACCCTTATCCAAGCTCAATTTCTCGAAAGAAATCTAAAACATCTCATCCCTTTCTTATCAAGACCATGGTTAAGCTACAATTTCCTGTTAATAAAAGCTATTGCTGTCAATATGCAAATGATGTCTACATTCACGCTTATCACATTGTGCAAACGGTACAATAATAAACTCAGGGGGCTTTTAGTCACGCTATTGCAGTATACATCAAAATACAAAAAAGAGCGAAACTCACATCCAGGGACTCCAGACAGTACCAGCAGAAGGCATGTTTGCAGTTCTTGCACATCATCTGTGCACAGCCCTCATCCCTCTCGATGTAAACTTTACATTTAGGACAGCGCTTGATTGGTGCATCATCTTCTTCATTCTTATAAAAAGAGCTGGGAGGAATAGAGACACAAGCATGATGGGATTTGTATTCCAAACAACATTGAAAAAAGAAAATCACTCACACATTCGCTTTACCAAAAAGTGCTGGGGATGAGATTGCTTTAACGCAGCAATCAATACTTACAATCTCTGACCTAACAGGACTGTGTGATCACTAAAGTGCAGGGGTCGACAACTATTCTCAAAACCACCAATCACTAAATGGCCTCCCTCCAACAGTCTTACCCTTCCATCCGTTTGTGTTGGTTTGTCTGTATCTATTTGTCATGTGTCAGTAAGGTGCTGCTGACCCTTGATAATATGGAGGTGAGCAGGTAGCGGTCATTCTAGGCCCTGTCCTAGGACCACGCACAATCCCACTTATTTCTAGTGAAGGATCCAGCTTTGAAAGACTTTGCCGTGAACAAGTGTAGCTCAAACCCTCTTTACAATTTAAGAGTAGACCCGACGGTTAATCCTCTGTCTCTCTCCACGGTGGCCTTTGAGCTCGGTCCTGAACCTGCGCTGACAGAGGAAAGCTCTGCAGAGTTAATGAGGTTTCCAGAGTAAGAGGATATCTCAAAGAAACGGGTCAGCTGCGTATGTCTCCGGGCAACTCTCTACTTACCTCACAGGTAGGTCATGTTTTCTTAAAAGGAGTAATAAGCCAGTCTCAAAAGGCTTTTATAGGAGTTTATATATCTGCCTATTAATTTGAGCTTAAACCCCGGTTGATGCACAGCAGAGCAGCGTCTGCAAAACAGCTAGCAGCTGTCGATACATATTAAAAGGAGGCCCTGAATGAATCCTCCTGCATATTGATGGGAGGCTCAGAGCTCCAGTCAGGCGAGGTGAACATGGTTTATGGATTGCTGATTCAGTTCTATGGGGTTGCATCTGCAGAAAGTCATATAGCAGCTCATACTGTCATAACATGACAAAACGGGAGAAATTCATTTTTTTTTTTAATTGTGGAAAGATTGTCATACATAAAATGTCAGAAAAAAAGGTATAAAAGCAAAACAATTCTAAGACCAGGTTGAAACAATTTCTTTGATTTGTGCAACTAAGAGTCCAATAACCAAATACATTTAGTTTGTTAAACATAAGTTCAAGACACCAGCAAACATTCAAATGAAAGAAGCACAAAATACAGATATCTTGGCAATTGAGATAAAAATATATATAAATGTTCTTATTAACTGTGTAATATATTAATGCTGAATGCCTCCTTGATAGAAGCGCGTATGCATGTGTTAACAGAGTATAAGGTACAGTTGCAAGAAAAAGTATGTGAACCCTTTGGAAATACCTATTTCTGCATAAATTGGTCATAAAATGTGTTCTGATCTTCATCTAAGTCACAACAATAGACAAACACAGTCTGCTTAAGCTAAAACCACACAAACAATTATATGTTTTTATGTTTTTATTGAACACACCATGTAAACAGTCACAGTGCAGGGTGGAAAAAGTATGTGAACCCTTGGATTTAATAACTGGTTGACCCTCCTTTGGCAGCAATAACCTCAACCAAACGTTTCCTATAGTTGCATATCAGACCTGCACAACGGTCAGGAGGAATTTTGGACCATTCCTCTTTACAAAACTGTTTCAGTTCCGCAATATTCTTGGGATGTCTGGTGTGAATCCCTCTCTTGAGGTCATGCCACAGCATCTCAATTGGGTTGAGGTCAGGACTCTGACTGGGCCACTCCAGAAGGCGTATTTTCTTCTGTTGAAGCCATTCTGTTGTTGATTTACTTCTGTGCTTTGGGTCGTTGTCCTGTTGCATCACCCATCTTCTGTTGAGCTTCAATTGGTGGACAGATGGCCTTAAGTTCTCCAGCAAAATGTCTTGATAAACTTGAGAATTCATTTTTCCGTCGATGATGGCAATCTGTCCAGGCCCTGAGGCAGCAAAGCAGCCCCAAACCATGATGCTCCCTCCACCATACTTCACAGTTGGGATGAGGTTTTGATGTTGGTGTGCTGTGCCTTTTTTTCTCCACACATAGCGTTGTGTGTTCCTTCCAAACAACTCAACTTTGGTTTCAGCTGTCCACAGAATATTTTGCCAGTAGTGCTGTGGAACATCCAGGTGCTCTTTTGCAAACTTCAAACGTGCAGATCAGAAAACATTTTATGACCAACTTATGCAGAAATCCAGGTAATTCCAAAGGGTTCACATACTTTTTCTTGCAACTGTATGTATGGTACATTTGGAAAACATGGATTTCAAAAGCAACTGTAAAGTAGATGGTAGAGGGATAAAGGCAGTACCTGTTTTCTCCTGGTAGGAAGGAGGTGATGGGCAGGTTGTGCTCCTGGCAGGCCTGTCCGGGGTGCCAGTTGGCCTTGCAGGCGGAGCAGAACTCCAGGGCACAGACGGCGCACTGGACCAGCTGGGGCAGCGCAGGAGAATCTGCCTCCTTCAGCTGGCACACGGCCTGGCAGCTCGAGGAAGGGCACCACGTCCGGCATGGGTCCAACAGCACCTCTGATGGAACAAAACAAGCGCCAGCGTCATGGAAAGCAGCTCTTTTAAACGGTTAGTTAACCAAAATTATTTTCATTGGAAGGTTGTTTTCTTTTTGGTAGAAGGTATTTCAAATTGTCTATCTTTCTTAATAATGTTTGGCCACCATGGTGTTTCAGAGTGGGAAAAACCCAGAACACTGTGCACAGAAAACCACAAGCATTTCAAGTAAGGGATAATCAATTTACGACTAGAGATGAGCTAACCTTGCAAATCAATAAAAGCCTTTTGTCTAATGCATATTTCGTTTAACGTACACTTTTCAAGGTTCAAATGTGTACATACTTATGATAGCTTTAATACAATAGATAACTTTTTTCTTGATGCCTCTCACTCATTTCCACGACTTCTCCAAATGCTTTTGAATACGTGTGAAAGACAACCAGATTTCGTGGTTTGCCAGTTCTTTTCTAAGTTGGTAGCGTGATGCACTTGCCCTTGTATCCTCTCCTTCCTTCCCCTCGCCTCTCTGCCAAGAACTCAGAGCCCACACTCCTCATGCACTCTTGGCTCAGGCTGAGAAATATGGAACGGTTACAGCAACTGTTCTGCCTGACTGGACTGGGACATTGATGAGACGGCTGACTGCTCTTATCCAGGCAGCATCAATAGCTATTGTAGAGGCTTTCTGAGGATTTGTATTCATCTACAGGACCCCCCACTGTGTTCTTATGTATATTGTTTTGTTTACATTTATTTGTGCATGTGAGATCTACATGTTCTGTATACAAATGAAGCCCGTGTGTAGGTGGAAAACCTGCAGGGCAAGTACCATCTGAAAGCACGGCTTGGTTTCTTCTTTCTCTGGTAGCGAGGGAACTCTAATATTACCGATTAGCACGTCTGCACTGACAGCCAGGAGCGACACAGACACATCATCTATCCACCAACGATATCCAAGCCTATTACCAGTCACTTCACATTTATTCTACAAACAGTGTAAACTGCGGACATTGAATACATAGCGGCACACTGAAGCAGAGATAAAAGGATTTAACTAAAATATCTTGCCATGCTAAGAGACCTGCCGCATCACAGTCAGTTTACGAGCAGAGAGCCGAACCAATCCAATTAGAATCTCTTTAAACAAAGTCTAGGAGGCTTTCCCTTTTATGTATATTTGATGGGAGCTGGGGTTACACTTTGATGAGGATGACAGGGTTGAGTAGGAATACTACAGCGAGGTTTAGTACCTGTTGCATGAATATTTCTTCCCTGCAGGATTGTTTGTGGTTAAAAAAAAATCAGATTTAATCCATATCTTGGTATCAAAATCAAATGGAAAGACTTAATTCTAAAGCTGTTCAGGTTTGCTGAACAAACAAGAATACTTTCTATTAGCTCTCCGCAGATGCCCCACTGCGTAATTCAAGAGCAAACATGTCCACATGCGTCAAAGGTTTTCTGACAGAGCGGCATCTTGGCTGCACTTTGAAGGTGGGATTGTCGTCATTCTTGCGTGTCATAATAATATACAGTCTCCTTAGAGGACAGGAGGGTCGACGTGAGTTTGTATACGACAGCCTTTGCCCACACACCACGCAGTGAGGAACGCTGGAGATAATACTTGACACACTGCGGCTGCTTCTGCGTTGACTCACCCCTTTCAAACTGAAGCTTCTTGTATCTCTGCATCATCTCTGTGGCCACCATGCACTCGATCTACGGGGAGAGAAGGAATGAGAAGTGGGAGGGAAATAAGCAGGTCATTGTGCATATTTATAGACAGAAGCTGCAGGAAGCGATTGTGCATTCCGTGTGTGAATATCATTTCATGTCAAATTCATATTCCTACAAGATCAGAACTTGCTACTACTTATCAATTATTACACTTTCAGATAGAAAAAGTTAATCCAGTTCTCAGAGTGTGTTCAAAGTGCAGACACAGGCCAACCCAAGGTCAAAGGCACTCATTTATTGGGCAATGAAATGAGCATTGAGGGTTTGTAAAATAGCAGTCAATTACAGGGTGAGGACGCCACTGTCAGAGCAGACGGGATGATGCTCTGCCTGAGTGGCAGGAGTAGCACGGGGTTCCATTAGGGCCAGTGACACTGATTGATTAGAAACATAAGGACGGTGTGTTGAACCATGCGGTGCCTGAGGGCCTCCGTGAGCAAGTGAGAGGCTTGGTGAGTCCATGAAGCAAAGTGCCTGGAGGGCGAGGAACGCTTAGCCCTCAGAATGACCTCAGCTGCTCATTATAAAATAAACACACCGGCAGGTGGAGCACAGTGGTCATCTGGAGCTTTGAAGTATACAGTATGTATAAACCAAATGTTAGTTTTACCATTCTTAACCTTTTAAGTGGACCAAAAAAGCAGCAACATTGTAGAACGATTCTGAAATGAAAATAATAACTTTTAGGGATAAGTTTGGCCTATTTCAAGCATCCACAATTCTGTAGACCATTGTGTGTATATACAAACGTTTAAAATGTTTCTGGAAATTGCTGCGGTTTTGTTTTTTCCATTGTCCGACATGTTGACAAGCTTGATTGTTCCGATAATGGCAACCAGTCGCCACCAAAAGGGCAATTTAATCAAATGATGATCAAAGTAAAAAGCTGACATTTCCTTTTAATCAATCAATACCTCATTTTCCAGCAAGTGTCCTCTTTTGGGACAGGCAGAGTCTGGACAGCTAATTGCAGTTTCAAGGCCTTCTTTGATCAGGAGTTCAACATACTGCTTCAGGCACTGAGGAAAAACAGACAGGCAGGCAAATAAGACATTGACCCAGTTCAATATCCAGTCAGTTGGATGGCAACGTTGAAAATCAAACACAGACAGAAAAGTTGGTAAACAAACTCTAGCCTCAGTGTCGACCTCTGTCACTATCTCTGTCTGTTGCATTAGAAAAAAGTAGCTTGTTGGTGAAGAAAATTAAGAATTCAGAGTTTAAGATTTATATATTTGAGTGAATATTTGACTTTCTATGTCAAGAAATACAAAAACAAACACAAAGGATGTTGCTGCCAAGCTGGAAGTTAAAATATACTGTTCAACTTTATAATGTTATACAATGTTGTGTTTATAGATCTTTAAAAAATGTTACATGAAATGAGCATTTGAAGCATATCAGTGAGATATATATGGTTGCAAATGTACAATTATGGAAAAAACAGATACTTAGGAAGGCTGAAAAATCAAAAAGAATCTGAGGTTTGATGAAATGTGCATTTGAGTACATGCACAAGCTTTTATTGGCTTCTATTCTATGTTCATAATTTTGCTAGACTATGCATTTTCTTTTTAATTATTAAAAACCAGTAATAAAAAAAAGCTTGAGATAAAAGTAGCTTGAGTGAGATAAAGGCTGTGTTTATAATGTAATTAACCTCTTGTGAAATAAACTGAACCACTTGAACTTTGGTGATTTCTGGCACCGCCCAAACTGAGTTCTAGGAAGTGGCTTCTATTTTTAGCTCTTGGACATTGTTTCCTCATCTCTGGACTAGATTGGATCTGACAGCCAATGAGTGTTATATTGCTTTGTCCCAGCCTTTTCACACGGTACCACCGTAACGCAGTAGGGATGGAGATTAGATATAGATCCTGAGGTCATTTCTACATTTTAAATCAGGAAAATCCTGTGTGGCTCTGATTAATTAACTCTAACTCTGAAAATACTTAGCATAGTATAATAGTGGGGCTTCTAAACTCTGCAATTACAAAAAAAATCAACTTGTAACATCTTTCAATATCGCCAGACGGAAAATAGTTTTGACTTTTAATCAAATTGATTTGTATGTCCAATATTTCTAGTATACAGGATATGTGTTACTGTTTCCAGAACGTCCTCCTCACCTGTGTACAGAAGACACATTGGCACTGTGTGATGGTGGTCATCTGCTCCAGAGGGAACTCTCCAAGGCACAGCTTACACGACACCAGGGGGTCCACGGCCAGCTCCCAGGTGGGACGGTACCGTGCTGTGGTCATCTTCACCGCCACTGAGCTGCAACACAGAAAAAAGAGGGGGAAAAGGTCAGAGAGCTGTCAGAGAGCTAACACACACACACACACACACACACACACACACACACACACACACACACACACCTCTTGTACCTATCGGCTCTCTCAGCTCCTTGTTACATTTCCACTTTTGGATGAAACAACACTTTTTTTTCTCTTTTCTTCTCTACGCTACGTCATGACATTCAGAAAGGGTTATTTTAGGCCGTCTCGTCTCACTCTCCTTCCCTCTGCAGCTGAGAGCGAAGAGCACCCACTCGGCTGTTTACAGGAAGTGGTACCGAGCACACAACGTCAACACCGTCATGCTCCCCCCGTGCTGCTTAGCAACCAGCTGAAGGAGGATTTTCAGAGGTGGAAGGGGCAATGGCTAGGAGGGAGAGAAGCAAGGCCGAGGATAAGAGACAGGGTGAGATTGCGGTTTCCTTTCACTAGTCATGGTATAGTCAGCCTCAATTTGCGGCTGCTTGATCATAGACATACAGGAAGTGTGGGAGGAAAGAGGTTGAAGAGTTCACGTGCTGCCTTCATGGACCATTGTGTTGTATATATATGCCACCCAGAGAAGGGAGTGGAGAGAAAAAGAGAGACGGTGTGTTCTGGTTTACCAGTAATTATATCATTTCATACCACAACGCATTTCGAGGGTAGAATAAAAAGGCATCCACCATGGATGAACGTCAATAGGGTGAAGGCAAGCCACACATACAAAAATACACATACAAATAAAAATAAAGCAGAGAATAATCTGCTGTGAAAATGAGGCGAATGCAGGGAGCCATGTGATAGGCTGTGGCCTTCGGTGTTAGCCAGATGGTATGTCTCCATCTCATTTCTTTTATCTTCTTGCTCCACACCAAATACAGAACAATATTAGGTATTCCATTCAGTAAGGACGTCTCACTTGTCTTAATGCAGCTCAAGGAGAGAGGAAAGAGGAAGTTTTCCCAATGGGTACTTCAGTGAGGATACATGAGTACATCCTATGTGGGAGTCTATTATTAGACAGACACTCATTGGAAATCTGTGAGCGATCGAATGCTGCAGCTGATGAGGTGAAGCATCACTACACTTCACTGCAGTTAAACTACAGGAAGTGACAGAAGAAATAGCAGCAGAAATGTAGGTATGGGAGGACGTTTCTTATTCATCATTTGGACATTTACTGGATATATAGTACGTCAAATGAGAGTTTTAGAAGAAAGATCTGCTTTTTTTCACAACATGAATCTTGGCACGGTCAAAGAAATGTAATGTCCACTTATTTCCCTATCATTTTGGTCAGGAACAGAATCAACTTTTTTTTCGCTTAACAGATTCTTCAACACATAATGACAGAGCATCATCACCCACATTTAGCAAGACAGGAAACTGTAAATATGTGCGAACAGCAGGTGCGAATATAAAAAGCCAATTAATAGGAACAAATCGGCTTGTCAAAAATCGCTGATTTATCAGATAACATGCAAAGCATTTCATGACATTGTGGTAACAAAAGACGGTACAGAAGCTAAAAGCCTATTCTCAGGGGACCCAGCTGTGTTCCCGGTAAATGATCCTTTCAGATCGTGCTTGACCGGGAAAAATGTCCTGCTTGATAACATTTGATACCCTCAATCCTTCCTCCTTTGCATCTTTTCATCGTGTCAGGTAGGAGGACAGAGGAGAGTATTGCAAAGTAGGAAAAAATGAGATGAACCTCATGTCTGACTCACTCAAATCACCTGGCATTCATCCATCTATCCACCATCCATCACACTGACCAGAGTGCTGAGGAAGCTTTATTACGTAGGTGCGCAGCTCGTTTACAAAGGCTTAAATGGCAATTTGTTATCAGGATGGAGCCACAGATTTAAAAACATGATCCTCTGGGGAGTGAATGTGCTTTGGTGGTCCAAAATATGACATGGAGACAGCCTTTACAACTGAAGAAGTCTAATCACAGTTGGAAAATAGCTATGTTTAGGTATTTCAATGCAAACAAGTGGCATGTACGATACGATGATACTTTAATGGTCGGATCAAGTCTCAAATTTGACATGCATCACAGCAGCCCCATTTGCGACATCAACATGGACAAATAGCAAGACACAATACATGAACAAACTAACATTTAAAAGGTCACCTATTATGCAAAATCCACTTTAGCATGTATTTTATACATAAACGTGTGTCCCCTCACTAAGTTCGCTCTCTTTTTGTACTGATCTATTTATATAAAAACCTGTCTGAAAATGAGTTGATCAGATTTTGGCCACTTTATGATGTCATAACGATTTTTTTGGGTTATGTAACCATTAGCCAATAACCAACCAAGGTAACCCNCCCACATTATCACCTGAATCTCCTAGAACAACATTGTGTTCTTTTCAACCAAATATCTCTCAGAGGGGCGTGGGGAGAGGCTCCTTATGTTCATCTAAAGTAACAGACAGAGAATCAGCACTTTTGAAACAGGGCTGAAACAGAGGGGTTTATGGGATGCTACAATGATCTGTTTGGTATTTGGAGCCAAACACTTCAGAGACATGTTTTGTATATATCTGAGACCTTTTATATATTGATGAAAAACAGTATAATAGNTTATTGTATCTTATCTTATCTTGTCTTATAGCTACGTTTCTGATAGGGCCGTGGGTGTAAAGCCAGCCCACATTTCCGATATTACGTCATATCAGACGCAAATCTGGATTAGCTCCGTTGTAGCCCCGTTTTTAGAGATGTGGGTATGGAGGAAAAGAGAGAGGGTTTTATTTTCTGACACTTTGTGAGTTCCCTATCACACTGGGAACACATATTTATGTACCTTGGTTGGTTATTGGCTATATAACGGTTACCCAAGCCAAAATAGTTATGACATCATAAAATGGCCATAATCTGATCAGCTCATTTTCAGACGGGTTTTTATATACGATACGATAATACTTTATTGGTCAGATCAAGTCTGAAATTTGACTTGCGTCACAGCAGCTCCATGTCCAACATCAACAGACAAGTATCCAGATACAATACATGAAACACAAACAACAAACATTTAACATAACAGCACAATCAGTGAGAGAAAACATGCTCAAAGAGCCTTCAGCGTGCATTTGATCTGGGATTCGGCTCTGTATTTACTGTGAGGATTGACTGGTGCACAAAGGAGTGCTTCAGTCTGACTTGATTGAATTGTGGAACCCCTGTATCTCAGATTAGATGGTAGCAGTTCATATTTGCTGTTCAGAACATGGTTTGAGTCAGAGATGATGTTGTTGTTGTTGTGACAGCCTCACTAGGTTATTATGATAGGCTGACTCATAAATCCTCTGACCAACAGCAGATTTTGAACAGGTGGAGCAGTTTTGATTTTAAAGCAGTTGACAAACACTTGTACCAGGTAGTATTACAGTACTGTCTGTAGAACAGTCAAATTCAGAGATGTAAAGTGGAACAGAAGAATTTGTCTATTCCTCAAGTCTGAGAGGCAAAGCAGCATAACGTTAGTCACAAAGGGGACAAAGTGCTGGTAACAGAAGCAGCAGTCGTTAAATGTAAAAAATGATTGAATGTTGATGATGAAGTTGCAAGTTAAACTTCACTTATTAGGAACGTGACAGACGACATGTGCTGAAAAATACAAATGAAGGGCTGGGGAGCCTCAATAACACAGCAGAGAGTCTCAACTGACAGCTGACGATTTGACAGACAGCATTTCCACACGGACTGAAATGAGTCTGTTTCTTTATCTGTGTCCATGCCTAAGCCGCCGAACTTCATTAGCCCTGTGGCAGGAAAAATAAACTGACGGTAGAAAGTAATTTGCACTGTGCCATGCAGGACTTTCTAATGGACTATCAGTGTGTGCTTTTACATTCAAATCAGTTTCTCTCCCTGCAGACTTTATATTGGCTTTGCTAATAGTGACAGACCGGGTCGATGGGGACAAATGAAATAGTTTTGTAAGAATGGCCTGAGGAAAGATGGGGAAGGGAGAGAGAGAGAAAGCGAAAATGAGTTTTCATGTGAAAAGGTGGTGCAGTGCATCCACTGCTGCATTATTAACTAGATAGTCCATTATCACTGAGAAACACACACACAAACACGCTCATAGACATTATATTCTGAGCACTGGGGATGTGCATGCAGGTTTCTAATGCTCTTTGTGCGCTCATTTCAGATATAGCCCTGCAGAACACTATACGTCTAGGAAGGTCAGGTCAGAGAGCTAAAGATGAATAGAGCGGGAGTCATGAATGAGTCACAAGTCTTAGATCCATCCTGAGCAGTGGTCACCATGTGTCAGTCACCAGTCTGAAGGCTCAGAGTTTCACTGGCTACAGCAGCACTTCCGCCATTATGGCTTCATAAGTGGCGTATACACTCAGAGACGACCATTAACTCTCCACTGGGGTGGAAACGGGCATGGAGGAGCAGTTGAGGAGAACTGCAGTATACATGATACCATCCATTAAGCTTTCTTCTTTTTATCTACAGCTACATCATGTGTTGTATGAAATAAAGGTCAGTTACAGCACACATAACATCAAATATTAAAAACACTCATGGCTGTATACGCCAGCAAAACGTATAATTGATTTATTATCACCGCCAATGTCAACTAACAATTGTCTATAATCTTTTGAGTACTGAATGATTCACAAATGAACTGAACATACAACAATGTTTTGTGAAGGACTGTTGGTGCTCAAAAATATTTCAGGCTCTGGACAATAAAATGTTGATTTAAAAATATGTTTATTCAAGTCAATTGAGATCAAGACTGTTATTTAATGCTACACCCTTGTATTGGCTGTTACTCTAATAATGCTCACACAATATACAGCCTCTTCTGCATTTAAATAAATGCTGCTTCCTAACGTCCAAAGTAAAAAAATGCAAATTCTCACAAGAGTAGACTCAGACAGAGATACAGCAGGAAGCCTCACACTGCAGTGCAGGGTTCACGTTCACCAGGAACTAAACTAAGTGCTCTCACTG